CCTGGGCCGTGGGGGCTGCTGCTTCTCCCTGTCTTCTAGGCCCCACTGACATCATCCTTTTGTCATCCTGAGAGGCTGCCCCAAGTGCTGTCCTCCTCCCAGCCACGCCTGCCCTTCCCAAAACCTGGGTGTGGGCCTCTGTGGCGTGCCAGGAGCGAGAAGCGAGGCAGGGGCTGCCCCACGCTGCCAGCTCGCTGCCTGTGCCGCCCCAGTGCCAGCCGGGGGTGCAGCCAGCCCTCGCGGCCCCTTGCCTGGTGGGCAGCCCCAGGACCTCCCTCCAAGGGCGTCGTAACTGTCTTCCTCCACTTCAAAGCCCCCATTCTCACACTTCCTTCCTTCGGTAATGAACCTTCAATTTCCTCCAGGTAAATAAAGTGAAACTGGAAAGAACTGTAAAACAAAACATAAAAGTAGCCGAGCTGGAAAGTTACTGCCAGCAGTGTCTCTGAGAATGGCTTTTCCTGTCTTCCCGCTGTGGTTTCTAGCCTGTTGTCTCCCACTTTGTTTGCCCTTCCTTACCAGTTTTTATCTATAAGCTCTTTAGCATGCAACCTCCTCTTCACAAGAGCAGTTGTACAGATGCTAATAGGTAGAGAGGCTCCTCCCACGGCTCTGTTTTTATTAATGGGAGGATCAGAGAAATTACCACACTTTTAACATCTCTTTTGCAGTAGCTGTTAAGCCTCATGGTGTCCAAACACTGAGTGGGTTTTTGTTCATTTGTTCAAAACACTGAACTCTGAGATAAATTCCTCTGTACAAGGTTTTTAGGTGCTGGGAGACCCTGTGTTTGTTGCTCAGTAGGCTACATGGTATTTTCATTTGGAAGTGACATTTTACGTGACATTTTACTTTAGAACAATAGATGGGCAAAATCAAAATTTCAGGTCTGTAGCAGAAGAGTTACGTCTCTTACTTAGTCTATTTAGTAACTTGCATCTTTTATAAATTCTGCTTGAATGCATCTCTTTTCACAAAATCCAGATTAAATGTGTTTTGTAGAAGGGAGGGTGCTGACTGGTCTGGTTTGCAAACTTGCAGACCAGCTGTCCTACTCACTAGTGAAGATAAGAGGGCTCAGATGAAGGGTTTTGTGCTGCTGGAAACACAGCCAGCTTTCTCAGGAGATTGCTTTGAGGCAGGTTGCAGCAATATTGCATCCCCACTGTTACTAGTGGGTATTGCCACACACATGTATAATTTGTGGTTGATAAAATCAGGAGGAAATAAAGACAGGTAAAAAGAAGAGATGAGAGATCTGCTGTGCATTTTTTCTTTTTCTTTTTCTTTTTTTTTTTTTTTTTTTTTTT